GGAAATTGGCTCCCCAGACATGCCTACTTGGATCTTTTATTCTAGACCTATGTGTCACAATCATACAGTGGAGCTATCAGTTTGGATTTGATATCTTGACTTCCATCTTTAATGCTAATGCTAATCATGTCTCTCTTCGCATCAAATTCTTTTACCTTCTTATTTGCTTTGGTCATCAGTGTATGTCATTTTTAGCTGTCAAGAATACATGGATGGGCATTTAGGTGCAAGTGGTTCTACAGGAATAAGTGTCTTGCTTCGGTGTTTGTGGTTGGGGAAGATGCATCAGTTCCCGGGTCGTTTACTATAGGTATATTGGATTTTCATTCTTTCAAAGCTTTGTCTAAATGGGTACGATATGGAAGTTCTCAACTATGATAATTCTTTTCACAAGTGTGTTCTGCTGCCAGTTTTAGTTCTTAGTTCAGATGCTCACGTTCTTTAATGATCCTGATGTCTTTTATCGTGTTATGGGCATCAGACAGAGTCAAAAGTCAATTATGGATCGTAGCTAGTGCTGTAAAGTGCTCATTTGCTTTTTGTATCTAGGTACTTATCTTCTTTGTCGTTTTCCCTTGGTTATCATGCCAACTTTATTTTTTTTATTGGTGATAAATGTGTAGACCACGTGGTGACAGTTAAAGATTATTAGTTTTGGAAACTTCTATGGCGTGTATCCGTTTTGAATTCCTGTACACCTTGTTTCTTGGTCTTTTTGGTGATGGATATTGTTCTGCTTCGACCAAAGCTGTGGTTTTCAATCTTGTCTCTTGCATCTATAGTGATTTCTTAGGTATTATGGATTTTGTCAGCTTTGCACTTAACTGTTCCCTTCTTTTTGTGCTTGCAGTTGGGTCTTAATGAGCAGGGTTTTATGAGTACTGAGATTCTCATTTCAATTTTCTTCCCCAATCAAAGTGCTTCCTCTCTTTATTAAAAAATGTTGTTGTATGGAAGTTCCCAACTAAAATAGGTTTTCTTGCGCTCGTTTGTGTTGTATTCTGCTACCTTTTTTAGTTTTTATCTAGATGCTTATGTTCTTTGATGATCCAATTAATGAGATTCATTGTGGTTGATGAGTGAGTATTAAATCTCTTCCTAACGCCTTTAGGGGCTGTGAAGAGAGCCCAGTTCCAGGCCCTCTTTTAGAAAGAAAAAAATGGTACAAAAAGAGGGCTTGGGGGTATATATACTATACAAATTGATGATGGTTTATCATCATCAGAACAAAGATCAGTCTAGGTCGAGATGAATGGAAGATGCTTCTGGAACTAGTTTTTGATAGGGTCTATCTTAGCTCGAAGGAAAGAACAACCAAAGTTAGACCCCCAAAGAATATGGATTAAAATCTGTTAGTATTTGACAAAGAACCTAACGGAATTTAACAAGCAGTAACCGGAATCAAAGTTTTGCAAAATGGTGTCAACCGGTAATAGAATGTAGCTAGATAACTGATGCCACAGCATCCAAAATATGTGGGATGGAGTTCATGGTACACTAACTTAACCTTCAAGGTCAGATAGTGCTACAGTGAACATCAATCCACTATCTAGCTCAAAATTAGCCTCACGAACTACTAACACTATTATTCGCGTAGCCCTTTTTTGTTTTGTGCTATTTCATCATAGGCTGTCGGAACTTGCTTCTTAGCGCTACGTGGGAAGAGAATTTCTCTATTCAGCCCCCCCGACTTCAATTACAAACTCTTACTTCTCGGTCTAACTTGGACTAATCCCTTAGCAGGCAAGAAATTCCTACTAACCAGACAGAAAGTAAGTTTCCACTCACTACCAAAGCGCTGTCGCACCTCTACTATTTTCGGCGTAACGAGGTTTTAGTCTTTACGAGGGCACCCCCTAGCCAGATTCAATCCCAAGGGTCAATCAAGCCTTTGAAACTAGTGAAAATAGTCGTCACAGTCTGAGTTCCTGCTTTCAACGAGACTTTCTTAGCTTGTCAAACTTTCTCTCCTTCACCAGGAAAGTTATCCGGTAAGCAAGATCTTTGATTGATGTGCCTGAATAAGGTTGATCAATGGTAGCTGCTTGGAGCTTTCTCTATACCTTAATTGAACTGCCCCGCTCTTAGCTCGGGTTCTTGCTTAATGAGGCGTCCCTTGTTTGCTCTTGGATTGGACTAAGCGGCAATCCTTACTGTGGAAGCAGACCTTGTCATTCTTCTCCTTCAATGCCAGTGGATAAGTACACTAGGGCTGGAATGCTCTTTTATCATGTATGTGGATTACTTGGTCGATTACCTGATTGCACTAGTCTCATAGCCATCTCTTTAGCGTCCCGCCATTCCTTCTTGTTAACACAGGAAATCTAACTCATTCTAAGGTAGAGCTCTTAGAGTCCTACTTAAAGTGAAAAGTAGTTCTTTAGTTAAAGCAAGGAGAGCAGAAACTGAGGGAAAAAACCTATGTTCTTACGCGGGATGGGAATAAAGGCTACTAAGTAACCTTAGAATGGGGATGCCAATCTTATACAGAAAATACCGCTATCTAAAGTAACCTTGCAGGGGGGCTGCGTATAGCATTCTAAGATCTCAATACGAGAAAGAAATCAGACCTATAACCTCACTGCAGTGGCTTGTAGACTTGCTTTGCCGCGGAAAGCTCAAGTGAAAACCTATTAGAACTGTGGGCCTCACCCGTCTACTACTCGACCTTAAGTAACTACAGTTAGGAGGATCCATCCAATAGCTTAATGACTTGCTTGGGTCATCTAAGAGGTAAGGCCTCCTCCGATCGACCCTAACTTTCATTATTGAGCTAAAGGAGTTCCCTAGCCCTTCAAGTTTACACAGGTCCCCAAAGATAAAGGCTTTCATCCTTCCTGAATATTCTGGGAACTTTCTTCTATTAATTGTTTTCGAAATGCCGATTTTCCTGTCTGCGCTAAGGCGATAAGGAAAAAGAGAGGGGCCTTTAGTATGTGGAAAAAAAGGCAAAGATCACATTCCAACTAACGTTGACTGGTAATTGCCTCAATGAGGCGGATAAGGCGCAAGAACCTAAAAGGCGGACTAAGATAAGTTATTCAGCTAGGGAATGCGTTAAAGAGCCGTTATGTAGCATCTGAGAACAAGAAAGCAGACATGCACACGAAAAGACATGCACACGAAAAGCAGACATGCTTTCAAAGGGCTTTCAAAAATCAATCATGGATCTCTTGAAAGCCCTTTGAAGTGGGTCTTTGTTACTCCCTTACTTTTGGTATTTTCTCAGCTTCTTGTTTCTTGTTGCATTGTCACCCGAGCTTGATTTTGTTTGTTGGATTAGAGTTGGAATTTTTTCAAAGATTGATGATGTGATCAGGCTTTGATAGTTAGTGTTTGCTCCTATGCACCCTGTTTCTTTGCAAATTTGTTCTTTCTCACCAATCTGAATTTTGTCAGGCATTGATAGAGGGATTTTCCTATCTTGTTTCTTTGCCATTTTTATCCTTGCACTGCAATCTCAATATTATCAGGCTCCGAGAGAGGGGTTTTGCAATCTTGTCTGTGGCGTTTTGTAGTGGGTTTCATCAGCTTTGCACGTAACTCTTTCCTTCATTCCTTTGCTTGTAGCCATTGGGTCTTACAAAGCAACAAATTCTTCTTTTCATGGGATGACCTTATTCGCCCATATGTGATGAGGTTTCGTTAGTTCAGTCTTTTATGAGTAGAGATAATTTTCAATTCAGTTTTCTTCCCTAATGACTTGTTTGTCTTTGTCAAAACTTACTGGTTTATATAAGTTTCTCAATTAGGAAATTATTTTCACCAGACGGTGTGTTGTATTCTGCTGCCATGAGGTTCTAAGCCCTCACACTTATGTTCTTCGATGATCCAATTGATGAGGGATAATTTTCAATTCAGTTTCTTCCCTAGTGACTCCTTTGTTTTTGTCAAAACTACTGTTGTATGGAAGTTTCTCAATTAGGACATTATTTTCACATGTGTGTTGTATTATGCTTCCATGAATTTCTATGTCCGCATGCTTATGTTCTTCAATGATCCAATTGATGAGGTCTTTTATGACTATGGACACCTGATAAGTATTTTGGCCCCTTCTTGATCTTTTGATAGTTGCATAAAATACTTTTTTTACTTTTGTTCTTTTAGCTTCTGATCTTCTCTGCTTCCATTTTTTTCCGTTATCAGACTAGCTTTTTTGGTTGTATAGATGTGTAGACCATGTGGTAACACTGTTATGGACGTTCAAATTTGGAAATTTCAAAGTTTGGTTAACCAACATGTGATCCTCTCTCACCTTTTGGTCTTTTTGGTGCTTGCACTGCAATTTGATGCTGTCCGGGCTTTGGCAAAAGAGGGTTTTCAGCTTCGTCTATGGCATCTATAGTGATTACCATTGTGGTTTTGGGTTAGTCAAATTTGCACTTAACTGTTGCCTTTTTGTAGTTCTTTCATCCATTGGTTATATGGCAGTGAATTATTCTTTACGTGGAGAGGCTGTGTTTATCTGCTTGTTGTTGACGTTTCTTTAGTTAAGTCTTATATGAGTATCGAGATTCTCGGTTCAGTTTATTCCCCAATGACTCCTTTGTGTTTGTCAAAACTACTGTTGTATGGAAGTTTCTCAAATAGGATATTAATTTTCACCGCAATGTGTTGTATTCTACTGCCATGAAGTTTTAAGTCTAGACACTTATTTTCTTCGATGATCCAATTGATGAGGTCTCCTATGTCTATGTTTCTTGAAAAGTACTCAACTATTTCTAGACCTTTTGATAGTGGCGTAAAACACTTATTCACTTCTATTCTTGTAGTTACTTACTTATCTTCTCAGGTTCCATTTTTTTTCATTATCACACTAGTTTTTTTTTTTGTTGGGTGGATGTGTAATGGTGATTCTGTTATGGATGTTCAGATTTGGAAAATTCGAAGCGTGGTTGACCAACATGAGATCCTCTGCCACCTTTTGGTCTTTTTGGTGCTTGCACTGCAATCTGGATAATGTCCGAACTTTGACAAAAGGGAGGGGAGGGGGGGGGTTTAGTCTCATCTATGGATTGGCTAGTGATTACTTTGGTGGTTTGGGGTTCATTGGATTTGCAATTAACCTTAACTGTTCCCTTTTTTCTATTCTTGCAGCCATCGGTTACAAGGTAGTGAATTATTCTTTGATGGGGCTGCCCTATTCGTCTGTTTGTTGTTGAGGTTTCTTTAGTCAAGTCTTTTATGAGTATTCTGATTTTCGATTCAGTTTTCTTCCCTAATGAATCCTTTGACTTTGCCAAAACTATTGTTGTAGGGAAGTTTCTCAACAAAGATATTTATTTTCACTGGTATATGTTATATTTTGCTGCCATGAAGTTTTTAGTCCAGACAGTTGCATTTTTCGATGATCCAATTGATGAGGTCTCCTATGACTATGAACACTTGATAAGTACTCGTTCTAGATCTTTTTATAGTGGTGTAAAATACTTATTTCACTTTTATTCTTGTAGCTACTTATGTTTCTTCTCTGCTTCCATTTCTTTTTCGTCATCACATAGTTTTTTTTTGTGGTTGGATGTGTAGACCATGTGGTAACACTTTTATGGACATTTAGATTTGAAAATTTCAAAACTTGGTTAACAACATGTGATCCTCTGCCACTGTTTTTGTTCTTTTTGGTGCTTGCATTGCAGTTAACATATTGTGCGGTTTTGACAAAAGGGTGTTTTCAGTCTCGTCTATGGCATCTCTAGTGATTACTTAGGTGGTTTGGGGTTTGTCAGATTTGGACTTAACTGCTCCCTTCTTTCTGTTATTGCAACCATTGATTACAGGGTAGTGAATTATTCTTTTCATGAAGAGGCTATTTTTGTCCGTTTGTTGTTGAGGTTTCTTTAGTTCAGTCTTTTATGAGTATCGGAATTTTCGATTCAATCTTCTTCCCTAATGGCTCCTTTGTCTTTGTCAAAACTACTATTGCATGGAAGTTTCTCAACAAGGATATTAATTTTCACCGGTATGTGTTGTATTCTGCTGCCATGAGGTTTTTAGTTTGGACGCTAGTGTTCTTTGATGATCCAATTGTCTATGGCTATGAATACTTGATAAGTACTTCACCAATTTTATATCTTTTGATAGTGGTATAAAATACTTCTTCACTTTTATTCTTGTAGCTACTTGCTTATCTTCTTTGCTTCCATTTCGTTGTCGTTATTACACTAGTTATTTTTGGTTGGATGGATGTGTAGATCATGTGGTGATACTGTTATGGATGTTAAAATTTGGATATTTCAAAGCGTGGTTAACCAACATGTGATCCTCTGCCACCTTTTGATCTTTTTGGTGCTTGCACGACAACCTAGATATTGTCCGAGCTTTGACAAAATGGAGTTTTTAGTCACATATATGGCATCTCTAGTGATTACTTAAGTGGTTTGGGGTTTGTCGGATTTACATTTAACTGTTCCCTTCTTTCTGTTCTTGCAGCCAATGGTTATAGGGAAGTGAATTTTTGTTTTCATGGAGGGGCCGTGTTTGATTGTTTGTGTTGAGGTTTTTTTTAGTTAAGTCTTTTATGAGTATCGATATTACGGATTTAGTTTTCTTCCTTAATAGCTCCTTTGTTTTGTATGGAAGGTTTTCTCAACTAAGATATTAATTTTCACTAGCATGTGTTATATTTTGCTGCCATGAGGTTTTTAGTCCAGATGGCTTATGTTCTTCGATGATCCAATTGATGAGGTCTCATTTGTCTATCGATTCTTGGTAAGTACTCTGCTAATTTTGGATCTTTTGATAGTTGCGTAAAATACTTCTTCACTTCTATTCTTGCAGCTACTTATCTTCTCCACTTCCATTTCTTTTTCGTTATCACATTAGCTATTTTTGGTTGGATGGATGTGTAGACCACGTGGTGACACTGTTATGGACGTTCAAATTTAGAAATTTCAAATCTTGGTTAGCCAACATGTGATCCTCTGCCACCTTTTGGTCTTTTGGTGCTTTGCACTGCAATTTGGATGTTGTTTGGGTTTTGACGAAAGGGGGTTTTAGTCTCGTCTATGGCATCTATAGTGATTAATTAGGTGGTTAGTTTGTCAGATTTGCTCTCAATTGTTCCCTTCTTTCTATTCTTGTAGCCATTGATTACAGGGCAGTGGATTATTCTTTTGACGATGCAGTCATGTTTGTCCATTTGTGTTGAGGTTTCCTTAGTCAAGTCTTTTGTGAGTATCAAGATTTTTGATTCAGTTATCTTTCCTAATGGCTCCTTTGTCTTTGTCAAAACTATTGATGTGTGGAAGTTTCTTAAACAGGACATTATTCTTCACTGGCGTGTGTTGTATTCTGCCGCCAAGAAGATTTAGGTCCAGATGGCTTTGTTCTTCGATGATCCAATTAATGACGTCTCCTATGACTATGGACACTTGATAACTCAACCAATTCTACATCATCTGATAGTGGCGTGAAGTACTTCTTTTACTTTTTTTCTTCTAGGTACTTATCTTCTCTGCTTCCATATATTTTTTGTCATCACACAAGTTTTTTCTAGTTGAATGGACCATGTGGTGACACTGTTTTGGACGTTCAGATTTTGTAATTTCAAAGCTTGGTTTATCAACATGTGATTCTGTGCCACCTTTTAGTCTTTTTGGTGCTTGCACTACAATCTGGATATTGTCTGAGCTTTGACAAAGGGGTACTTTTAGTCTCGTCTATGGCATTTCTAGTGATCACTTAGGTGGTTTGGGGTTCGTCAAATATGCACTTAACTGTTCCATTTTTTCTGTTCTTGCAACCACATTGGTTACAGTGCAGTGAATTATTCTTTTCATGGAGCGGTCGTGTTTGTCTGTTTGTGTTGAGGTTTCTTTAGTTTAATCTTTTATGAGTATCGAGATTTTCGATTCAGTGTTCTTCTCTTATGGCTCCCGTTGTACTATAGAAAGTACTATTGTATGGATGTTTCTCAACTAAGATAATATTTTTCACCATTGTGTGTTGTGTTCTGCTGCCGTGAAGTTTTTACTCTAGACATTTAAGGATGGCAATGGGGCGGGGCAGGTTTAAGGCTACGGGGGGCAGGGCGGGAGGGATGCAGGGTGGGTTGAAGTGGAATTTTTAAAACTAATGCGGTGTGAGACGGGTTGCAGGGGTAAATGTGATTTTATATGGGTTCAAACTTAATTTGAGCTTTTTACATGTTATAAGAGTGACAAAACATTATTTATTAAGATACTTTCTTTAAAGCTACTAAAATATTCAATATAGTAAATCAAAATGGTTCAATAAAAAATAATACAATTTCTTACATGTTTCCCAATTGACCTCTAAAAAATAAACGTTTAAGTAATTATCTATTAAACTAATACAACTTAATGAAAAAATGAATTTATTTTTATGAGTTTTATTTTTAGTACGGAAAAGGGTCAAAATTGCCCCTGAACTATGCGAAATAGATCATTTATACCCTTCGTTACATTTTGGGATAAAAAATGTCCCTGCCATTATCCTAAGAGACCACAATTACCCTCAAGAGTTAACACCCCAAATTTTTAGTGACATGGCAAGCCACGTGGGACTAATCCTTCCACCTAAACGTTGCCAACTTGGATTCACTACAAAAGAACCAGACCATTAGCGGCGACAACAGTCGCCACAAAATCCCAAAATATTGCCACTAAAGGTTATGAGCGATTTTTAGTGGCGACTAAGGCTGCAATAACCATTTGCTAGTAATTCCTATTTTTTCAACAAAATAATATGATAATTAATTTTCGATTGCAACCTAATATTCTAAAATAAATAACTTGGACTATTAACATTAAAAACATCCAATATTATTATGAAAATCATCAAAATTACTTCTTGTTTCAAATCTCCTACTACATAATGCATCATCATACAACTTATACATTTACATATGATATAAAAATAAAACATATAGTGTCTTCACACTCCTCCTTAATCGATATCATTTTTGGTTTTTTAAAAACAATGAAGAAAAAACACGCAAATCAGAATTTATTGTTAAAAACCTTTAGTGACGATTTTCTGGGATTTTGTGGCGACTGTTGTCGCCGCTAAAGGTCTAGTTCTTTTGTAGTGAATCCTAGTTGGCAACGCTTAGGTGGAAGGATTAGTTCCCCACGTGGCTTACCATGTCACTAAAAATTTGGGGGTGTTAACTCTTGAGGGTATTTTGTGGTCTCTTAGGATAACGACAGGGGCATTTTTTATCCCAAAATGTAACGAAGGGTATAAGTGGTCTATTTCGCATAGTTCAGGGGCAATTTTGACTCTTTTCCATTTTTAGTATCAAACTTAACTAGAAAAAGAAAATGTTAAAAAAATTATGTGGGGCGGGTTGAGAATTTAAGAAGTTATGCAGGGCGGGGCAGATTAAAAAATTTGCAAGTTAAGCTTAACCCCCCGGCTTGTGCACCGCCCCGCCCCATTGCCATCCCTATAGACATTATGTTCTTCGATGATCCAATTGATAAGGTCTTCTATGGCTAAGGACACTTGATAAGTACTCGGCCAATTCTAGATCTTTTCTTTTGACAGTACCATAAAGGCTCCTCTATTTCTGGTCTTCTAGCTATATATATTATATGCTTCCATCTTCTTTTGGTTATCACAAACTTGGTTTTTCTTGTTTGGTGACAACAATAGAGGTTAAGATTTGGAGATTTCAAAGTTTGATATCCAGTATGGAATCTCTTTATCCGGTTGTTCTTTTTGGTGCTCAGGGCTTCAACAAAATGGGGTTTTAAATCTCATCTATGTGGTATATCTAGTGATTTGTTAGATGGTATGGGTTTTTCAGCTTTGGAATTGATTGACCCTTATTTTTTTATGCTTGCAGCCATTGGGTCTTACAGAGTGATGAATCATTCTTTTCATGGAGCGGCTTTCTTTGTCCATTTATGTCGAGGTTTCCATGGTTCAAGCTTTTATAAGTTCTAACATTTTCGAGTAAAATAGTTTTTTTCCCATTAGTATGTGTTGTTCTACTGGCATGTTTAGTTTTTAGTCCAGATGTTTGTTTTCTTCAATGATCCAATGATGAGATTCATGATGGTTGATGGTTATTGTCTCATGGACATCTGACAAGTACTCAATTTTGGATCTTTTGAAAGCCTCGTAAAATGGTAGTCTCTTTTGGTGTTCTCACTACTCATCATTCATGCTTCCTTTTTCTTGTATTATGCTAGTTTGATTTTGTTTGTTGGATGGCTGTATGGTGATAAGTTGAGAGGAATACGACTTGCAATATTTTGCAGGTTGGTGTCCAGTGTGCATTCCTGTGCACCCTATTTCTTGGGCATGTTGGTGCTTGCACTACAATCTAGAGATAGCAGGCTTCGAAAGAAGGTGATTCTTAATCTTGTCTGGCATTCGTAGTGAATTCCTAGGTGGTACGAGCTTCACAAGCTTTGCACTTAGACAGTTCCATTCTTCATGTGCTTGCAGCTGCTGGGTCTTACAGAGCCATAGATTCGTCTTTTCATGGAGTGGCGTGGTCTGTCAATTTTGTGTTGAGGTTTTTTGGTTGATGCTTCTAATGATTATTGAGATCTTCAATTCAGTTTTATTCCCTAATCAGAATGGTTCCGTTCTTCCTTGTCAACAATACTTCACTGGTGTGTATTTTGTTGCCATATATGTTTCTTAATAATCCAGATGCTTATGTTCTTTGATGATCCAACTGATGAGATCTCCATGGTTATGGACAACACATGATAAGTGTAATCAAGCTCAGTCTTGGATCTTCTGATGGATCTTTTAATAGCCTTGTAACACACTTCTCTAGTTTTCGTGTTCTCTCTACTTACCTTTCTCTGATTTCATTTAACCTACCAGTTTATTTAGTTTGGTTGGATGAATTTATAATTTTGGTTTCGGTGTGCATCCTTGTGGACCATGTTGACCATTTTGGTGCTTGCACTGCAATTTGGATATTGGATATCACCATGCCTTAAGAAAAGGGCACTTTGCAATCTTATCTTGTTTGGCATCTCGAGTGATCTCTCCCGTGTGGTATGGTTTTCCACTCACCTGTTACATTATTTTTTGTGCATGTAACCATTGGGTCTTCCAGAGCATGGACTTCAAGTCAGTTGTCTTCCTAATCAGTGGGTCCCTTTTCTCTTTGTTAAAATTATTGTTATGTGGAAGTTCTCAACAATGATAATATTTTCCACTAGTGCGTGTTGTACACTGCAACCATAAAGTTTTTAGTCTAGATGCTTATTTTCTTGGATGATCTAAATGATGAGATCCCTGATTTGATATGGACACCTGAGAAGTACCCAAACTCAATTTTCCCAAGGGCTTCTCTACTTTGGTGTTCTTGGTACTTATTTTCTCTGCTTCTATTTTCTCATGTGTATCATGCCACTTGATTATGTTTGTTTGGATGCATGTTTGTAGACCACATGGTGACTAGAGGGGGATCGAATTTGGTAATTTCGAAGTATGGTTTTGTCATTCCCTTGTGCACCCTGTTTCTTTGCCATTTTGGCGATTGCGCTTGCACTGCAATTTGGATATCACTAGGCAATAGCAGGGGAGTTGTGCAATCTTTTTTGGCATCTCTAGTGATCTCTCCTATGTGGTATTGGTTTCACAGCTTGCACTTTAACTGTTACCTTCTTTTTGTGATTGCTGTTGTTGGATCTTTCAAGATCAGTAAAGTCTCCATGAACTCCATTTCATAGAGTAGACTTGTTTGTTGTAGTGTTGAAGTTTCTTAGTTCAGGCTTTGTATTAGTATCTAACTCTTCAATTCAGTTTTCTTCCCTGGTCATAGAGATTCCGTGGGTAGCCAGGTAGCCGTCGGTCTTGTCCCGACACCTATCTTCAGTTAGTAGAGGCTTCATAAATAGTCAAAGTTAATGCGTCAGTTCAGTCTTTAGTATTCAGAAGTTTTAAACATCATTATTATTATATTATTATTATTGTTATTGTTTCAGACTTTTGCATGGGATATCTTTAAGTGATTTTAAATGTTCATTTTATACGGCTTCCGCATGTATGTTTAGTCTTCCTCTCAGTAGTTAGCTAGGACAAGGGTTTGCTTGGGACCAACAGTGGGGTTCCGAGTGCCAGCACTCAGAACAGTGGGGTTTCGAGAGCCGGCCACGTCCAGGTGTAGGCTCGGGTTGTGACACAAATGATGAGGTCTCTTATGGCTATGGACACTTGATAAGTACTCAGCCAATTCTAGATCTTTTGATAGTATCATAAACTACCTTTTTACTTTTATTCTTCTAGATACTTTCTTATCTTCTCTGCTTTCTTATATTTTTCGTTATCACACTAGTTTTGTTGTTGTTGTATGGATGTGTAGACCATGTGGTGACATTGTTATGGCATTGAAAAAATGGGGTTTCAGTCTCGTCTATGGCATCTCCAGTGTTACTTAAGTGGTTTGGGGTTTTCCAGATTTGCATTTTACTATTCCCTTCTTTCTGTTCTTGCAGCCATTGGTTACAGGGCATTGAATTATTCTTTTCATGGAGTGGCTGTGTTTGTTTTTTTGTGTTAAGGTTTCTTTAGCTTGAGTCATTTATGAGTATCGAGATTTTCGATTCAGTTTTCCCTTTTCTATATCAAAACTATTGTTCTATGGCAGTTTCTCACTAAGATAATATGTTTTACCCGTATGAGGTTTTTAATTCAGACACTATTTTCTTCAATGATTCAATCGATGAGGTCTCTTACGGCTATGGATACTTGATAAGTACTCGGCCAACTCCGAATCTTTTCTTTTGACAGCGTCATAAAGTGCTCCTCTACTTCTGGTCTTCTAGCTATATTTGTTCTTTGTTGACATCTTCTTTTGGTTACAAAAACTTCTTAGTTTTTGTTTGGATGCATGTGTAGATTATATGGTGATTGTAATAGAGGTTAACATTTAGAGATTTCAAAGGTTGATATCCAATATGGTATCTCTATACCCTCTTGGTCTATTTGGGTCTTGCACTGCAATCTGGATATATTGGTCAGGGCTTGAACCAAAAACGGGTTTTAATTCTTGTCTATATAGCATCTTTAGTGATTTCTTAGATTGTATGGGTTTCGTCAACTTTGGACTTGATTTGTACCCATTTTTTTTTGCTTGAAGCCATTGGGTCTTACAGTGCAATTAATTATTCTTTTCATGGAGCGGTTCTCTTTGTCCATTTATGTCAAGGTTTCTTGGTTCAGGCTTTTATGAGTTCTGACATTTTCAACTAAAATAGCTTTTTTCCCAATAGTGTGTGTTGTATTCTACTGCCATTTTTAGTTTTTAGTCCAGATGCTTATTTTCTTCAATGACCCATTGATGAGATTCCTGATGGTTGATGGTTATGGTCTCATGGACACCTGACAAGTACTCAATTTTGGATATTTTGAGAATCTCGTATCTCTTTTTGTGTTCTCGCAGCTCATCTTCTCTGCTTCACTTTTCTTGTATTACGCTAGCCTGATTTTGTTTGTTGTATGCATTTATGGTGGCAGTTGAGAGGAATAGGACTTAGATGTTTTTGAAGGTTGGTGTCTAGTGTGCATTCCTTTGCCCCTGTTTCTTGGACATGTTGGTGTTTGCACTACAATCTGAAGATTATCAGGTTTCGAATGAAGGTGGTACCTAGTTCGCCAGCTTTGCATTTACTATTCCATTCTTTCTGTGCTTGCAGTCGCTGGGTCTTACAAAGCCATAGATTCTTCTTTCATGGAGCGGCATGGTCTGTCAATTTCGTGTTGAGGTTTTTTGGTTGATGCTTCTAATGATTATTGAGATCTTCAATTCAGTTTTGTTCCCTAAACAGAATGGTCCCCTTCTCTGTTGTCAACACTGCCTCACTAGCCTGTATTTTGTTACCATATTTGATTTTTAATAATCCAGATGCTTATATTCTTTGGTTATCCAACTGATGAGATCTCAATGGTTATGGACAACACATGATAAGTGTAATCGAACTCAATCATGGATCTTTTGATGGCCCTGTAATGCACTCCTCTACTTTTCGTGTTCTCGCTACTTGTCTTCTCTTATTTCATTTAGCCTACCATTTGATTTAGGTTGGTTGGATGAATGTTTGTAGGCCACATGGTGGTAGTAAGAGGATGAGATTAGGATATTTTGTTGTTTTGTTTCGGTGTGCATTCCTGTGGACCATGTTTCTTACCATTTTTGTGCTGGCACTACAATTTGGATATTGGATATCACCAGGAAAAGGGGGCTTTGCTATCTTATCTTGCGTGGTATGGGTTTCCACTTACCTGTTATGTTCTCTTTGTGCATGTAACCATTGGGTCTTCCAGAGCATGAACTTCGGTTTTCTTCCTAATCAACGGGTCCCTTCTTTCTTTGTCAAAACTACTGTTGTGTGGAAATTCTCAACAATGATAAAATTTTCCACTAGTGTGTTTGTACTTTGCAGCCATCAAGTTTTTAGTCTAGATGCTTATTTTCTTGGATGACCCAAATGACGAGATCCCTGATTTTTATGGACACCTGAGAAGTACCCAAACTCAAATTTAGGTCTTCTTATGGCCCTAAGAGCTCCTCTACTTTAGTGTTCTTACTGCTTTTATGTTTATCATGGCACTTTATTTTGTTTTGCTTGGATATCATATTTGGAAATTCTGAAGTTTGGTTTCAGTGTGTGTCCTTTCCTTGTGCACCCTGTTTCTTTGCAATTTTGGAGCTTGCGCTTGCACTGTAATTTGGATATCACCAGGCACTGTCAAGAGAGTTATGCAATCTTGTTTGGCACTGCAATTTCGATATCACCAAGCACTGGCAAAGGGAGTTATGCAATCTCGTATGGCATCTCTAGTGATCTCCCCTATATGGCATGGTTTCGCAGCTTGAACTTTAACTGCTCCCTTCTTTTAGTTCTTGCTGTCGTTGGGTCTTTCAAGATTAGGATAGTCTTCCTTTAATGGAGCAGCCTTGTTTATCTTAGCGTTGAAGTTTCCTTTGTTCAGGCCTTGTATTAGTATCTAGCTCTTCGATTCAGTTTTCTTCCATGGTCATAGAGATCCCCTTATCTCGTTGTCAGAAGTGCTGTTAAGTGGAAGTTTTCAACTACAATAACTCTCTCCACAAGTGTATTTTCAGCTTTTAGTCCAGATGCTTTTGTTTTGCGATGATCCAATTGATGAGGTCTCTCTTGTGGTGTGGACATCTGGTAAGTGCTCGCTCAGTTCCGGATGTTTTCATCATCTACCTTTTGTGTTCTTGCTGCTTATCTTCTCTGCTTTCATTTTATTTTTTCTTATCACAACAGGTTTTGAGTTTTGTCTATTGGAAAGATATATATTCCACATAGTGAACACTATTTGAGGATTAGATTTGGAAATTTAAAAGTGTAGTGTTCAGTAAGCTAGTCGTTTAGGTGTTTCCCCTGCAATCTGGTATCGTTTAGGGCTTCAAGATTAGGGAGTTTCTAAATATTGTCTATGTCATTTCTAGTGATTTCCCAAGCACTCTGGGTTTTGGCAGATTTGCACTTAATTGTTCATTCATTTTGTGCTTGCAGTTGTGGTCTAAACATAGTAAATTTTCTCTTTTCGTGGAGCAGCCTTTCTTTGTTGATTTGTATTGAGGTTTCGTTCGGTTCAAGCTTCTATGAGTATCCGATTTTCAGTTCAGTTCTTTTTTTTTTGTTCTCTTCTTTAATCAATATGATCTTTCTTCACCACACTCTCTTCGAGTGGTGCTCTTCTAGTAGTTAGTTTAACTGAGAATTTTGCACGTCAGTGGTGGTTACAAGCATTCAAGTTCTTAGGAGTTCTCTTGGTATTATGTGTAATCAAGTCTCGGCTCGGCCTATCTTCTTTCTCCCCCTCCCCTTAACACCTGTAGTGCTGTTGGTTGGCTGCCTCCACCTGATGGTTATGGTGGGTCAACGTGTGCAAGATTTTAACCAGGTCTTGCATAATGTGATAATGAGAATGTTCTGTCGTCGACTGTCGATAACATTCTTTTCAAAACCTCTTATAGACTAGGCTGGGATCTTATCCATTTTAGATGGTGATCTTACATGTTTCAGAAAACTGTAACTACCTTTGGTGGTATAGAGTTGATATCTCTACTTAATGTTGTACTCATTTGTTTCATCCCATTGCCCTCTATTAAATTCCTTGCTTGGTCGGAATGGGGAGGAGTGTCAACTCGAGTTCTTTTCTCCTGCCAGTTGTCTTATCTGATCCGATGGCTTTCATTTTCTCCCGGATGCAGGTTTCTGGTCTTTGATTGTGGCTGTTGGAAGTTTGGGTGGAGGGGTTAAGGATGTTTTATTATGATGTTTCTGCCATAATGAAACTATTCTTATGTTACCTGGTTGACAATTTTTGGGTATTTACAGAATTTGATAGGTCTGGATTTGTTGGTGCAGTTGTATTAAGTTTTCTGATTTTGCTATATAGGTATGGAATATGAGCAGATTTGTGAGTTGCAGAAAAGAACGTCCGTCAGAAAGCTTGGCCTCCTGTGCTCGAAGTGAGACCTGAAGGGTGAGCTTATGGCGCACGAAATCCATCTCTCGGTTTTGCAGATCTATTTTGAATTGTGAATTTGCTGTGAGTTCTCACTTTTGTTGGTTTCTCGAGGTATCCGGGGTCTTCCTGCTTAGATTATGCCAATTTCTTTCTCTGTTTTACCAGGGTAATGATTGTATGGGTATAGACAATGCAGTTTCTGTTGTCGGATGTCAATAATCTTTGTAACGAAGTAAACCTCATCTCTGGTACCTCCAACAAATCATCTTTTCTTGCGTCTTCTCTTTTGGAACACTATTCAACAGAAGTTTATGAGCCTTTCCTTGTAGATGTTGCTCTCTATATTTCATACCAGTATACGTACCCGCACGTTGCGCGGACATTATAAAATGTAATAATGTTTTAAATTTAAAATAACTAATAAGGTTTATTATTTTCTTTGTAATATATTTTTAAAATAATGTAATAAATCATTAAATTATTTATTTGAGCAAGTTCTATTAATATTTATGTACACCATTTAATATTTATGATATTAATTTAAGTTTTCACAAAAAACGATTAATATCATAATACTAAAATAATTTAATACATTTTATATATATTTTATTTAAAATCAAAAGATTCAAAAATATTTAATGGTTTGAATTTGGCCAAAATTAGAATACAAAAATAAATTAAAATAGAGTGGGTAATAAAAATGTTCATATTAAATACAAATATGAACACAAAATTTAACACATAAAATTAATTTAAGAATTTCTATAGTTATTATTGAAATTAATTAAATATAAATAGTGAAACAATATTATTATTTTATACTTTATTTAATTAGAAATACATATATATATGTGTGTGTGTATAACACTTGTATGCTTGTGAAAATAGAGAGCGAAGGACGTGCACTTATTTAAATAAAATCTTGTAGTATGTTCAAAGGCTTTTATGAATTTCCTATACCACACCAAAAATAATAAGGAAATAAAGAAAGAAGAATAATAAAAATGCAAAACAAAAATAACTACATGATATATGAGTTTTATTTATAAATAAAAGGAATACATACAATATAATCATAGTTAATAATAGAGTATAGCTTCATAAAATAGAAGCTATATTACAAAGTAACTATAAATTGTTTGAATTTAATCATTGTAATGAAGATTTTTAATCTTATTCAAACATGAAAAGATAATTATCATCCCTAATTTAATGTAGAGCCGTCAATATGGGCTAGGCCTGTTGGGCCGGCCTGGCCTAACCCGGGATTTACTAGGGTTGGGCTAAAAAATTTGGAGCCCATTTTTAAAAAGGGCTTTTTAGTCCAGCCTGAATAAGCCTGCTAATTTGTGGGGCTTGAGAAATATAGGTAGGGCCGACCCGTGGGCCAATAAAAATTAATTAAAAATATCATATAATATTAAAATTTAAATTAAAGAGATCCAAACTCAAAATCTATTTAAAGTTTTTTAGGAAATCACTAAGTATAGAAGTTGCATCCACCATGAAAATGTCCAAACACTTGTTGCTACTTGAAACTGGTTACATGATTTTTCTCAAACTGGTAATATATTTTTGTGTACATTTAAATATTATAATTCTCAATTTAGTTATTTTTTAATATTTAACTAATTGAAACCGCATATAAATTGCAGATGAAAATGAAGATGTTAAGACAACCTTCCCACAAGTTGATTCAGATATGCTTGATAAAGATGCGCCATATGTTTCATGAAGTGTTAGATACGCCATAAGTTTCATGATTTTTTAAGGAGTTTATTTTTTACTTTTTTATGATTGAAATATTGTCATATTTTTTGTGTTTTATTGTGATCATTGCAAAACAGTTAGGTTAATATTTCTATTTAGATATTTATACTTTTACTTGAAAAAAAACTTAATAAATATTATAAAGATAATTTTATTTGTGGATTTGATTAACAAGTAGTAACATTAACAACATGTAATATTGTTTTATCGATATTTATGATAATATTTTTATTATAATTTATAATTTAATTTAATAATTATAAAAAAATTGTATAACTTTTTAAAAAGTGGACTGGCCCGGCAAGCCTGTAGCCCACGTACTTGTGGGTTGGGCCGACCGTTTTTTGGCCCACACCAAAAATGGGCTAGCCTGGCCTGGTCCGTAAAATGTCAAAGCCTGTATGGGTTAGCCCGGATGGGGTGGGCTAACCCATATTGACAGCTCTAATTTAATGTTATAAACAAATTATCTTAAATCAAGGAATTCTTTTCATATTTTTTCCAAAAATAATTATATTGATACATAGTCCATGATAGCTTTCTTCCACATTAGAGTTATTGAATTCATGTGATTTTTGTTGATATAAATTCTTAAAATAAAATAATAGTAATCAAGATTAATAATAGTGTAATAAATTAATTCAATTCTATTAGATGATGGCTGATCAAATTATATATATCATTATACTAACTTCAGAAAATAATTGTCATGTCAAATTTTTATTAAAAATCGGGTGAAATTCACAATACTAATAAGTATTTAATTAACATCAAATGTACTCAGAGCTTTAGATTAAATCGGATAAAACACACAGTTCTAATATTAAAAATTCAACCTATACATTTATGTATAATAAATTTATTTTTTATATTAATTCAATAAATATGATACATAAATTAGCAAGATAAAATGATTTTAATATTAAAAAATTAACCTTCATTGAATCTTTAAAACACTCTTTAAAATTAATAAATATATATTAATTTATTAATTAAACAATACTTCTATACAATAATAATATTTTATGATTCCGAAAATATTAATTTAAAGAGGTTCTACTTATTAGATGAATATTTTAATTATAATTCAAAGACTTACTCAATTAAAATGTTATAAGCATTAACATTTTACAGTTGATTGGGATTCTTTCATAAAAAAATTAAAGTTTTTCTAAAAATTAATTTTAAAACAGATTATTCAAATATATAATTCTTAAATTTTTATCTTTCTATAAATTTAAATTTTTTAAAATGATTATATCACATTAAATTTAAGTAATTCTTTAACAAAAAATTAATTTTTAAGATTTTAGTTTCGAATTTAATATAGTTACAAATTACAAATTGATTTTAATTTATGTATAAAAAAAAGTAGACTTTTTTGTGGTGCATTATTAATTTAAAGACCATTAGCATTTATTTGTTACAGTAGAGATATATCTTAAGATAATAGAAATTAACTTTCTTCTGTCATTGAGAATGTATAAATGCCGAAAAAAATATAATGGACATCGTATTAGAAAGTAATATGATATAATGAAAAAAAAAATTACAACGTAAAAAAATTACAATATTTATTTTCATGAGATATTTTAGAAACTTGCCGCTTTAATTAATATTTGCATTTACTTTCTAAAAAATGGCAAAAACATTCTTAAACGTTTATGGGAAAAACTCAAAAAGAAAATTCTGCTTTATTTTTTTTCTTTTTTTCACTAATCTCTTCTAATCCCGAGAAAATTTACTTTTAGGAATAGGTAAAAAATTCAAATACATTATACTCTTTTAACATATAGTGTATATGTTATTTCAAATTTTAATTGGGTACCAATTACATATTTTTAAACAAATTAATGTATCAATTAATGAATATCTAAGGATAAAGTTAGAAATTTATTGTAATCACTTAGAAACATGTAATATTTAAAGTCTATATTATTTTAGTAAATTCTAATTCAGATATTTCTTCTTCTGTCATATCAAGAGGCCTATTTTTCAACATCAAAATGCAATAGACTTACCGAAAATACAATATAGTATATTGATTAGTAAACATTATCATTTCAAAATTTTAAAACTCAATCCACTATATTAACAGAAATCCAAAATTTTAGAGTTCAATTAGAATAATTTTCTGAAATTAATAAATATATATTAATTCATTAATTAAATAATACTTCTCTACAATAATAATATTTTATGGTTCCGAAAATATTAATTTAAAGAAGTTCTACTTATTAGATGAATATTTTATTATAATTCAAAGACTTACTCAATTCAAATGTTAATAAGCATTAACATTTTACATTTGATTGGGATTCTTTCATAAAAAAATTAAAGTTTTTTTTAAAATTAATTTTAAACAGATTATTCAAATATATAATTCTTAAATTTTTATCTTTCTATAAATTTAAATTTTTAAAATGATTATATCACATTAAATTTAAGTAATTCTTTAACAAAAAATTAATTTTTAAGATTTTAGTTTCGAATTTAATATAGTTACAAATTACAAATTGATTTTAATTTATATAAAAAAAAAGTAGACTTTTTTGTGGTGCATTATTAATTTAAAGATCATTAGCATTTATTTGTTACAGTAGATATATATCTTAAGATAATAGAGATTAACTTTCTTCTGTCATTAAGACAAGCGTTGAAGCATTTAGAACATGCAAAGAGTAAATTCATTGATGCAAAGAGTCTGGGAAATAAGCATTGATACTAAGAGTCTAGAAATTTTACAACGATGTAATGGATAAAAGTTAATTAGTAACCTATTTTTTTCAAATATATTTACAATCTTCAAAAATGAAGAAGAAACAGTTTCACTAATGATAAAGCAAAATGAATCTATCTATATATAATCGGAGAAGAAAAAATGCCTACGTGTCAGCACCACAAAAAAAGAGAATTTAAGAATTATTAAAATTAATTTAAAATCTAAAGGTAAAAAAACTAGAAATTGAAAACACTACAAAAATAATGAAAAATTCAACAGGCAGTTTTTTTTTTAAAAATCAAAAATTTACAGTTACCTTAATTGTATATATCTAGGAGAAGAAAAGATGACACATGTCAAAAGAAAATAAAAAAAGAAAAGAAG